GATCCTGTTTGTCAGCATGAATTTTTTTGTTTATTAACAGCCTCCTGCGCGATTGCAAATGTATCAAGGGACTCCCATACCGTGGACCTCACATAAATAATATTATATAGGGATTCAGGAGCTTTCTGACCCGACCCCTCCGCACCACTGACATGCACTCATATTTTTGAGGATCCAACCGCCCGAAACCGCAGGGACCCGCGGGTTGACTGCGGGTTCGGGCCGACCGCGCACCTGCATGTCCGGTTCCAGGGGGGGGCTGCAGGTAGCAATTGTCCATTAATTTAATTGGACTATGTCCATGCACACTGTTCGTTAACAAAGATAAGTTAGTTCCAACTCCAAAATTTCAAAGGCCAACCAGCTTGCGCATGGACTTTGTTGAGTTGAAGGCCATTAACTTTAATTCTTCAAGTTTTGAAGAATACACTTATTAAGTGTCTGTCAGTTAAGTTTTTCAAGTTCTGCCAACCTAAGTGTTTTAACTTCAAGTTACTGGAAATTGTCAAGTCAGTAAAAACTTACTTTTTTTAAGTTCAGATTTTACTGTCCCCTACAATAACTTACATATTTTGAGTTTTAAAATTAGCCCCCAATTACAAGATCTATGATGTTGTATTTATATAGCGCATTTCTGGACCAAGGGTCACTTGGGTTGGGAAACCCGGAGCACCCGGAGGAAAACCTATGCAGACACAGAGAACATGCCAATTCCACACAGAAAGGCCCTGTTCCCGACGGGATTCGAACCCAGGAACTTCGTGTCCCGAAGCGGAGAGTGCTATCACTCAGCCACCGTGCCGCACCCACACTAGAGAACAGGTGGGGATACTTAATGTTTCTCAGACTGAGCCAGAGAATATAAAGGCTACTTTGCTTGGCCCTGACGATTACGGTTGGTAAAAATAAATACAGTGATTTTTTGGTCAAATTTGTTTGTTCAAAATGTTGAATGCAGCTGTGGCCTAACACATATTTAAATGAGCAAACGCAGATAAGTTGACCTCACTATCGCTACGGTGACCTGTAAAATACGGACAACTCAAAAATTGTTCACCTTACTCAGATTTTGCATTCACTGACAATAAAATTATCCGTTGAACGGGAAATATTTGTGAGCCACTTGAAACTTTAGAAGTTTCACTACAACTTCAAGTCCAAATCAACTGAATCTATCAAATAAGTTGTAACTTTTCATTCAGAAAACGTCAGAACGTGAGTGTCGAAAATCAGGACGCAATAGGCAGGGATCTTTGCCACAGGCCAATTGTGGAAGTTTTTCACAACAGGTGTAGATTCAGGCAGAACAATAAACAGGGAAACATTATATATTGGATATATTGGGTCAGTCAGCCTAAAACAACGGATACCAATCGTTAGCAGATATACACTCAAAGAACCATTGTGTGTCTTGTACTTTATCTTTATCTTGGTTTTTGTTGTACTATATACAGGCCATGGCCTTCTATTGTTCTAATTTCCAAATGGCCAATTTTCTGTCATGTGAATGCAAAAATCTGAGTAAGGTGCACAATTTTTGAGTTGTATTTTATACAGTCCAGCACCATGAACAGTCGCCATTAATGGTGAGTGTTATAACAACTAAATTAAAAGCATAAATTCAGAGGCTTATCAATATATATGATTCGAAGTTTGCGGTGTTTCCGCTTATGACATTTTCTGATGCGCATATCTTTTTTTTAAACATGATGCCAGGGTACGGAAATGTTTATTATTGTCCCAAATCTTGAATTTCTGCGTGTTTTGGCGTGTTGTGCGAAGGTTGAAATGATTAGTTGCTAGGACTGTAGTACAACTTGTTTAAAAACGATATTGCTAATACCAAATGTCTGATGGGTGGGGTACACTTTCTTTCTCCGTGTTTTACAAATATAATGGCGTTGGCTGATGAATGTCTGCTTAGCGCTTGTTTTAACATAGCAAACCAAAGCGAAATTGGCCCCCTGTTTTTGAAAGAAGGATGGTTGGCTGCTAACATTTGCATGTAATGATTTGCAACTTTAGGAATGACTTATAAACAGAGGGGCCTGGGGTGGCTGGTTGGCTTTGTTTATTCGTGTGGGGGCGGGAGAGCAGCTTTCTGTCACGTGTTTTTTGAGCAGTGGTAAAAACCCTGAAAAGGAAGCAAGCTTGTTTCATATTCTGGACCACGAGCACATTTAATTGACCTCGACTTTGTTGATTGGTCTTTGAAGGTTCTTCTCGTGTTCGTTCTCAATGGACGCTTAACACTTGACTTTGAGTCTGCACACAACATTATCAACCGAATAACGTGCACACAGCCCGGTCCTTCCCAAACACAAAAAACCCAACACGCTTGTGCCAGCCAGGGACTGGAAGGCCTAGGTTTTGCCTTTTCCAGCAGCCGGCGTTGCCATTGATTTACAATCTTATCACGTATCATGCTATCTGTCAATCATCCGGCGCGAGCCAGCTGAGAGGGTGCTAATCCAGTAGGTGGTTCTAGTGCCGGCAGGCTGGTAAAGGCACACGCAGAGGCAGATCGCTTTTAATAGCCATAAAATGGCCATCATCAACATTTCAAAGATGAACAACAGCTTAGCCTACACATTTAAACTAAAAACAAGTGTAGGTTGAGGGAACATTCCAAGGATCAGTTGCATATAGCAGACAGACAGTGACGTGCGGTGAGGATTGTGATTGGGGAGGCCACTGACTTTAAATGTCAGATTACTCTATTTATTAAACTAACATAGCATTTAATCACCGATAGCAATAACATTCACCAAATTCCCATGCCTGTTAAAAGATGAAGAGAAAACTAGCTTCTTTTACTAATTCACAAGCCAATCTAGTTGCGGCCTCTCTGCTCCGCATCCAAACAACATCTTTAAGAGGAACAGCGTTGCGCGAGAAGTGGAGCAGAGCGAGAGAGACGTGAGCATGAGGAGAGCGAGAGACGTGAGCAGAGCGAGATAGACGTGAGCAGAGAGAGAGAGCAGAGAGAGACGTGAGCAGAGGATGCGAGAGGGACCCGTGAGCAGAGAGAGAGAGCACGTGAGCGAGAGGGAGAGAGACGTGAGCAGAGAGAAGCGAGCAGGAGAGAGCCGTGAGCAGAGAGGAGAGCGACGTGAGCAGAGAGAGGAGGACGCGGAGCAGAGAGAGATGAGAGAGAGAGAGTGAGCAGAGAGAGAGACTCGTGAGCAGACGAAGAGAGACGTGAGCAGAGGAGAGATGAGCAGAGAGAGACGTGAGCATAGAGAGAGCGACGCGAGCAGAGAGAGACGTGGAGGCAAGAGATAGAGAGGAGTGAGCAGAGAGAGACGTGAGCAGAGGGAGGAGGAGAGACGGCGGAGCAGAGGCGACGTGAGCAGAGAGAGAGAGACGGCGAGCAGAGAAAGAGAGCAGCGAGAGACCGGTGGAGAGAGAGAGAGAGACGCGGAGCAGAGGGAGGACGTGAGCAGAGAGCGAGAGACGTGAGCAGAGCGAGACGTCGTGCGCAGAGAGAGACTGTGAGAGAGGAGAGGAGAGAAGGCCTGTGAGAGGAGAGAGACGTGAGCAGAGAGGGGAGGACTGAGTGAGCGAGATGAGAGGCGTGGAGCAGAGAGAGAGAGAGAGAGGGTCGAGCAGAGAGAGATAGTGCGCAGGAGAGAGAGAGGCCGCGAGTGGAGGAGAGAGAGCAGGAGAGGCGGTGAGCAGAGAGAGAGAGGACGGCGAACAGAGAGACTGGTAGCAGAGAGAGACCGTGTCGAGCAGAGGAGAGGTAGGACGCGAAGCAGAGAGACGTGAGCCGAGAGAGGAGACGGAGATCAGGAGAGGCGAGAGACGTGAGGCAGAGAGAGACGTGAGCAGAGAGAGACGTGAGCAAGGGGTCTGAGAGAGAGCGAGCAGAGAGAGACGTGAGCAGGAGTGAGAGAGACGGGAGCAGAGAGAGAGAGCAGGAGAGAGACGTTGAGCGAGAGAGAGACGACCCGCGCAGCAGAGAGAGACGTGAGCATGAGAGATATGAGACGTGGCAGAGTGAGAGAGACTGTGAGCAGAGAGGCGAGAGAGACGTTCGCAGAGACGAGAGAGACGTGAGCAGAGGAGAGAGAGAACGTGAGCAGAGAGAAGAGAAGAGAGTGAGCAGAGAGAGAGAGGTGAGCAGAAGGAGTCGTGAGCAGAGAGGAGAGACGCGAGCCAGAGAGAGCGATGCGAGCAGAGAGAGAGAGCTCGAGCAGAGAGAGGACGGTGAGCCAGAGAGAGAGAGAGAGACTGTGAGCAGAGAGAGACCGTGAGCAGAGAGAGAGGAGAGAGTGAGCAGAAAGAGAGAGACGTGCGAGCAGAGAGAGAGAGGCGTGTGAGCGAGGAGAGAGAGAGAGAGGTGAGCAGAGAGAGACGTGAGCAGCAGAGAGAGAGACGTGAGCCGAGATGAGAGAGAGGTGTATAGCCGAGAGAGAGAGAGAGAGAGGGTGAGCAGAGAGGAGTGAGACCGCGGCAGAGAGAGAGCAGAGGTGCAGAGAGAGAGAGACGCGAGCCCGTGGAGAGACTTGGCGACTCAGATGAGAGGAGACGCGAGGCCAGAAGAGAGAGAGATGGCGCGCAGAGAGAGAGTATGCGAGCAGAGAAGCGAGAGATGCGAGCAGAGAGGAGAGATGCGCGCAGTGAGAGAGATGCGCTGCCGAGAGAGAGAGGCGTGAGCAGGGAGACGCGAGAGGAGAGAGCGTGAGAGCAGAGGAGAGAGGTGAGCCTGAGAGAGTGAGATGCGAGCAGAGAGAGAGAGATACCGCATGATGAGAGAGAGACGTGAGCAGAGAGAGCGAGACCCGAGCAGAGAAAGGAAAGAGAGTGAGCAGAGCGAGAGGGACGCGAGCAGAGAAGCGGAGGGCCGCGAGCAGAGAGAGGAGACTCGAGCAGAGAGAGAGTATGAGACGCGAGCAGAGAGAGAGAGACGCGAGCAAGCCGATGGAGACGCGCGTAGCAGATAGAGAGTGAGCCTGCGAAGAGCAGAGAGGAGAGAGACGTGATGTCGCGTGTCTATGGTCCGCGCTCGGAGCCCAGGACGGCAGGCGTTTCATGAGCTGTCAGAGCTTGGGGGTCAAGCAGCGTGCTCCCGGGGCCAGAGCGGAGGATGAAACGAAAACGTTCGGTTTATCAAAACATTTCACAATAGGCTGCAGACCCAGGGACTGAGGCTGCAGACCCAGGGACTGAGGCTGCAGACCCAGGGACCGTGAGGCTGGTGTGTAGTAATATTAATTTCTACCATATAACTGTGATATTGACTGAAATCATACAAAACCTCATATTTTAAATTGATCGTTGCAGCAATTCTACAAAGTGGTGCCGATCAAAGACATCCGGAACCTGTACGTGACGTTCCCCATCCCAGACCTGCAGAGGTATTACAAGTCCAACCCGGGCCATTACCTGGGCCACCTGATCGGACACGAGGGCCCCGGGAGCCTACTGTCCGAGCTCAAGTCTAAAGGTGAACACACACACGCACAACACACACAACACACACAACCACTGCTACTGCCGCACACAACACACACAACCACTGCTACTGCCGCACACAACACACACAACCACTGCTACTGCCGCACACAACACACACAACCACTGCTACTGCCTCACACAACACACACAACCACTGCTACTGCCGCACACAACACACACAACCACTGCTACTGCCACACACAACCACTGCTACTGCCGCACACAACACACACAACCACTGCTACTGCCGCACACAACACACACAACCACTGCTACTGCCTCACACAACACACACAACCACTGCTACTGCCGCACACAACACACACAACCACTGCTACTGCCGCACACAACACACACAACCACTTCTACTGCCGCACACAACACACACAACCACTGCTACTGCCGCACACAACAAACACAATCACTGCTACTGCCGCACACAACACACGCCACCACTGCTACTGCCGCACACAACACACACAACCACTGCTACTGCCGCACACAACACACACAACCACTGCTACTGCCGCACACAACACACACAACCACTGCTACTGCCGCACACAACACACACAACCACTGCTACTGCCGCACACAACACACACAACCACTGCTACTGCCGCACACAACACACACAACCACTGCTACTGCCGCACACAACACACACAACCACTGCTACTGCCGCACACAACACACACAACCACTGCTACTGCCGCACACAACACACACAACACTGCTACTGCCGCACACAACACACACAACCACTGCTACTGCCGCACACAACACACACAACCACTGCTACTGCCGCACACAACACACACAACCACTGCTACTGCCGCACACAACACACACAACCACTGCTACTGCCGCACACAACACACACAACCACTGCTACTGCCGCACACAACACACACAACCACTGCTACTGCCGCACACAACACACACAACCACTGCTACTGCCGCACACAACACACACAACCACTGCTACTGCCGCACACAACACACACAACCACTGCTACTGCCGCACACAACACACACAACCACTGCTACTGCCGCACACAACACACACAACCACTGCTACTGCCGCACACAACACACACAACCACTGCTACTGCCGCACACAACACACACAACCAACCACTGCTACTGCCGCACACAACACACACAACCACTGCTACTGCCGCACACAACACACACAACCACTGCTACTGCCGCACACAACACACACAACCACTGCTACTGCCGCACACAACACACACAACCACTGCTACTGCCGCACACAACACACACAACCACTGCTACTGCCGCACACAACACACACAACCACTGCTACTGCCGCACACAACACACACAACCACTGCTACTGCCTCACACAACACACACAACCACTGCTACTGCCGCACACAACACACACAACCACTGCTACTGCCGCACACAACACACACAACCACTGCTACTGCCGCACACAACACACACAACCACTGCTACTGCCGCACACAACACACACAACCACTGCTACTGCCGCACACAACACACACAACCACTGCTACTGCCGCACACAACACACACAACCACTGCTACTGCCGCACACAACACACACAACCACTGCTACTGCCGCACACAACACACACAACCACTGCTACTGCCGCACACAACACACACAACCACTGCTACTGCCGCACACAACACACACAACCACTGCTACTGCCGCACACAACACACACAACCACTGCTACTGCCGCACACAACACACACAACCACTGCTACTGCCGCACACAACACACACAACCACTGCTACTGCCGCACACAACACACACAACCACTGCTACTGCCGCACACAACACACACAACCACTGCTACTGCCGCACACAACACACACAACCACTGCTACTGCCGCACACAACACACACAACCACTGCTACTGCCGCACACAACACACACAACCACTGCTACTGCCGCACACAACACACACAACCACTGCTACTGCCGCACACAACACACACAACCACTGCTACTGCCGCACACAACACACACAACCACTGCTACTGCCGCACACAACACACACAACCACTGCTACTGCCGCACACAACACACACAACCACTGCTACTGCCGCACACAACACACACAACCACTGCTACTGCCGCACACAACACACACAACCACTGCTACTGCCGCACACAACACACACAACCACTGCTACTGCCGCACACAACACACACAACCACTGCTACTGCCGCACACAACACACACAACCACTGCTACTGCCGCACACAACACACACAACCACTGCTACTGCCGCACACAACACACACAACCACTGCTACTGCCGCACACAACACACACAACCACTGCTACTGCCGCACACAACACACACAACCACTGCTACTGCCGCACACAACACACACAACCACTGCTACTGCCGCACACAACACACACAACCACTGCTACTGCCGCACACAACACACACAACCACTGCTACTGCCGCACACAACACACACAACCACTGCTACTGCCGCACACAACACACACAACCACTGCTACTGCCGCACACAACACACACAACCACTGCTACTGCCGCACACAACACACACAACCACTGCTACTGCCGCACACAACACACACACACCACTGCTACTGCCGCACACAACACACACAACCACTGCTACTGCCGCACACAACACACACAACCACTGCTACTGCCGCACACAACACACACAACCACTGCTACTGCCGCACACAACACACACAACCACTGCTACTGCCGCACACAACACACACAACCACTGCTACTGCCGCACACAACACACACAACCACTGCTACTGCCGCACACAACCACTGCTACTGCCGCACACACACACAACCACTGCTACTGCCGCACACAACACACACAACCACTGCTACTGCCGCACACAACACACACAACCACTGCTACTGCCGCACACAACACACACAACCACTGCTACTGCCGCACACAACACACACAACCACTGCTACTGCCGCACACAACACACACAACCACTGCTACTGCCGCACACAACACACACAACCACTGCTACTGCCGCACACAACACACACAACCACTGCTACTGCCGCACACAACACACACAACCACTGCTACTGCCGCACACAACAAACACAATCACTGCTACTGCCGCACACAACACACACAACCACTGCTACTGCCGCACACAACACACACAACCACTGCTACTGCCGCACACAACACACACAACCACTGCTACTGCCGCCGCACACAACACACAACCACTGCTACTGCCGCACACAACACACACAACCACTGCTACTGCCGCACACAACACACACAACCACTGCTACTGCCGCACACAACACACACAACCACTGCTACTGCCGCACACAACAAACACAATCACTGCTACTGCCGCACACAACACACACAACCACTGCTACTGCCGCACACAACACACACAACCACTGCTACTGCCGCACACAACACACACAACCACTGCTACTGCCGCACACAACACACACAACCACTGCTACTGCCGCACACAACACACACAACCACTGCTACTGCCGCACACAACACACACAACCACTGCTACTGCCTCACACAACACACACAACCACTGCTACTGCCGCACACAACACACACAACCACTGCTACTGCCGCACACAACACACACAACCACTGCTACTGCCGCACACAACAAACACAATCACTGCTACTGCCTCACACAACACACACAACCACTGCTACTGCCGCACACAACACACACAACCACTGCTACTGCCGCACACAACAAACACAATCACTGCTACTGCCGCACACAACACACACAACCACTGCTACTGCCGCACACAACACACACAACCACTGCTACTGCCGCACACAACAAACACAACCACTGCTACTGCCGCACACAACACACACAACCACTGCTACTGCCGCACACAACACACACAACCACTGCTACTGCCGCACACAACCACTGCTACTGCCGCACACAACACACACAACCACTGCTACTTCCTCACACAACACACACAACCACTGCTACTGCCGCACACAACACACACAACCACTGCTACTGCCGCACACAACACACACAACCACTGCTACTGCCGCACACAACACACACAACCACTGCTACTGCCGCACACAACACACACAACCACTGCTTCTGCCGCACACAACACACACAACCACTGCTACTGCCGCACACAACACACACAACCACTGCTACTGCCGCACACAACACACACAACCACTGCTACTGCCGCACACAACACACACAACCACTGCTACTGCCGCACACAACACACACAACCACTGCTACTGCCGCACACAACACCGCTCTGGTGGATACAAGGCAAGTTTATTTGTAAAGCGCAATTCACATACTGAACAAAACAAGATAGAAATGGTCATATAAGGCAATAGAATCAGTACATTGAAAAAGAAAGATAAAAATAATAAATCCTTCAGTTTTTTTATTAATTTATTGATTTGATAGGGACATTGCTCATTAATGATCATCAGTATCAAACACATGTATATATGCTGAATTATAGGGACCAAGCTAGTTTTCATCTGTAGTCCCTAGGCAGGAAAATACATAATAATAGTTGTATGCACAGCTAAACAGAACCGTTTTTAACCTGGATTTAAACATTGTCAGAGAAGAGGCCTGTCTCACATTTTCAGGAAGATTGTTCCTCTGTTCTTGGTTCATATGACACAGCACAACATGTCACAGATGTAGTTTGGTTCAAGGCCATTGAGAGATTTCTACCAAACAGAGCTGCCTAAGTCTATTCTCTAAGCCACTTGAACAGAGACCTGAGACCTAGACTAATGTGATCCTACTTCCTGGTTCTAGTCAGGACTCGAGCTGAAGAAAGCATCCCCCCACACATTCAAATGAAGTATTTTTTGTGTTTTATAAAGTCAAAAATATGGAAGCCCGTTTCCGCCATGTAAAAAAAAAAAAAAAAAGCAAACAGAAAGTCAAAATTTGGAGTTTAAAACTCAAAATTACGACTTTTAAAACTCAAAATTACGACTTTTAAAACTCAAAATTACGACTTTAAAAGTCAAAATTACGAGTTTTCCACTGCGCATGTGCAGTTGAAAACTCGTATGTGTTGTTGTCTGGAATGGTCTCTGGACGTCCTTCACCTGCAGATTATGAAGATATTGCCGACAGTGACCACTGCATCCTTGAAGTAGCCAGAAATAATGTTGTTTGATTGATTCTGTAAAACTTTCCTGTTTAAGCCCCAGACCGCGGTCGTAGGACGCAGAGGGGGCTGTCTTTTTATTTATTTATGTTAAATTCAATTTACATATATACAACATTTAAATCAAACGACTTCTTATTTCGACATAGTAACAAATAATGTGAGCAATACGTTTTTATAATAAATCAAAGGAAAATGAGCCATCGAGACATTCCAATCCAATCTGACGCTGAGAGGGGTCCACACGGAGCGAGTATTTCCACGGCTGAAATGATGCGCTTTCTACGTGTTGAGTACGGGGTTTTATTCATGCTTCTATAATGGGTTTAACTCCCTTTTCAAAGACCCTCACTGTTATCTGCGGCGTTATTTCTCCGGATTGTTGCTAAAAGAGTCGTGGGCTTTATTTTGTCACAATAAAATAATCAGACAAGGCACTTATTCCCTGTATGTCTCTGTGTTCTTGCTCAAACGCCAACAACTTTACCACACGCTCCATCAGCTCACCCCCGCGTGCACGCAAACACGTCACATACTCTTCAATGCACTGATCGCAATTCCAAAAGGTTTAATATTGTCAGTGCCCGTGACTGTGGTTCTCAACTGTTTTCAACTGCACATGCGCAGTTGAAAACTCGTAATTTTGACTTTCTGTAGGCTTTTTTTTTTTTTTTTTACATGGCGGAAACGGGCTTCCATACAAAAACACTTTGCCCAGAAAATGCTGATGTAAATTTATTGTGGTGTGTAGTAGTACTGCCTATTATTTCAAAGCCAATTTTGGTATTGGGGACTCAATACAAATTGCCAACGATTCAAAATTAGCGAAAAGGGCTGAGGCTGAAGGACCCGGGGCTGAGGCTGAAGGACCCGGGGCTGAGGCTGAAGGACCCGGGGCTGAGGCTGAAGGACCCGGGGCTGAGGCTGAAGGACCCGGGGCTGAGGCTGAAGGACCCGGGGCTGAGGCTGAAGGACCCGGGGCTGAGGCTGAAGGACCCGGGGCTGAGGCTGTAGTCCCCAGGGCTGAGGCTGCGGGACCCGGGGATGAGGCTGTAGTCCCTGGGGCTGAGGCTGCGGGACCCGGGGCTGAGGCTGCGGTTATATCATATATTTTGGAACAAAGTAAAGGTCTTCCCTGTGGTCTTCAGGCTGGGTCAACACTCTTGTCGGAGGTCAGAAAGAAGGAGCCAAAGGTTTCATGTTTTTCATCATCAACGTGGACCTGACGGAGGAGGGCCTTCGTGAGTCCAACACTCTAATGTAGACCAGTCTTGGCTGTAGTCCTGAGGTTTATACTAACAGAGCTGTGTGTCCAGTGCACGTGGAGGACATCATCTTCCACATGTTCCAGTACATCCAGAAGCTCAGGACGGAGGGGCCTCAGGAGTGGGTGTTCGACGAGTGCAAGGTGAGTCTGAAGAGTGCTGCTGGGAAGTAACAACAACTTTAACGGCGGCACGGTGGCTGAGTGGTTAGCACTCTCGCCTCTCAGCAAGAAGGTCCTGGGTTCGAATCCCGGTCGGACCAGGGCCTTTCTGAGTGGAGTTTGCATGTTCTCCCCGTGTCTGCGTAGGTTTCCTCCGGGTACTCCGGTTTCCCCTACCACTAAAAATATGTCCAATAGTTCTGGCATGCGCCTCCTGTACTGGCGACCCCGCTCCCATCTCTGTGTGGAGTGAGAGACAAATGCCCAAAAATTAACAATTGTAAACCGCTTTGAGACTCAGATCTGCAGTGAAAAGGCGGTATATAAATAAAGATTACTATTACTTACTTACTTACTACTTAAATGTGAATAGCAGAATTTTCTACTTCCGGGTGGATCATCAGGACTATTGGTCCATGCTTGCTAAATAAGACCAGAGAGTTTTGTTCAAAAAGGGGGAGAAGGTGGTTTTTTCCTAAAAATTGGGGAAATAATCTTGTATACTTATAAATGTATACTATATTTCTGTCATTTTGGGAGGAGACGGCGGTGCTTCACATGTTGATTGTGTGCACTGCCGATCAAATACATCAGATTAATAAAACATCTCTCTATCTTCTTCCCATTAATCCATTTCTGGGTCAGGGGTGGCAGTCAGATCTGCACCCAGTACACAGAGCACCAGCCCCTCACTGATCCTCCTGCAGCTGCTGAGTCTGAAAGCACAGCCATGATCTGTCAGTGGGGGCCTCAGGCAAAGTGCGGTTAAGTGTCTTGCCCAAGGACACAACAACAGCAGACATCAGTGGGTGAAGGTCTTAAATGAATAAATAAATTAAATTAAGATAAAATAATATCCCTAGGCACACATATGGTTAGCCTTCCATATCTTTACAATAACAACTATATCAGAGTGAAGCTATATTGGCTTTGTTTTTTAAAGTATTATATCTAAAGTTGACATTTTTACTGCGTGTCTAATTGTATCTTTCGTCTTTTTCTCTAGGATTTGAACAAAGTTGCGTTCCGGTTCAAAGACAAAGAGCGTCCTCGTGGATACACGTCTAAAGTGGCCGGTTTGCTTCACGTGAGTTCTGCTGGTTTTGTAGCTTGTATTTTAAAAGCAGAAGAGACATTTTTAGATGTAATTCTAGAGTTTGAAAGAGCACCTTGTTCTGAGTTTTTGAAATCCTTCTTCAGTATTATCCTCTTGAAGAAGTCCTGGCTGCAGAGTACCTCCTGGAGGATTTCAGACCAGATCTGATAGAGATGGTTTTGGACAAACTCAGACCGGAGCACGTCAGGTCAGTGGCTCATATGTAATGTTTTTTATTTTTCAAAGAATTGTGAATATGGGCAAAGCATCATGGGAGCTCGTTCACTGCGCAGAACTGGGAGTTCTGCTGATCTTTCAGTGTCCGTGGCGACACATGCACTACTGAGCAAGCCATTGATTTGAACGAGGCCATCTTGGATCGCCGGGGCTTGCTAAAGACACAGACAAACCACAACAATTTTACAGAAAACATCTCATACAGGATCCAACTCTTAATTACACCGTCAGGCCAAAAGAGCTCCTAGATTCGAAGTATTTACTCTTTTGAATAGAATCTTGATGGTCAAAATGAAGTGGACAGTACTAAACAAAGTGCTTAGATGCAATATTTATAAGCACTTTTCAAGACATTTGAGTAAATACAGATTCTAGGCAACAATTTCACTTCAAGAGCTGCTTCTCAACATACAGTACAGACCAAAAGTTTGGACACACTTTTTCATTCAATGAGGTTCCTTTCTTTTCATGACTATAGCCTGTAGGCATGTCAAAGTCAAAGGGCCGGACTGGTTCAATGTTTGTTAACTCATTGCCTGCCAGCCTATTTCAGAACAGGTACTCCCATATTGCCAGCAGTTTCTGATGATTTTTATAGATTTTTCAAGACCCACAGAATATTGTGTACTATGACTATCTGAAATCCGAAACCAGATTCTGAACGAATAGACTACTTTCATCAGCAAAAAGAATTTTGTTTCTAGCTTGTAATCCCCAGTTGAGTAGAGGGAAGTTTTACTGAAATCACCAAAAAGCTGAGAAAAAAGAGGCACAACAAGTGCATCTAGCTGTTTTCAAACCATTCAGAGAGCGCTGCTGCCACCTGCAGGCTCGATTCAATATGCTCTCAAGCTTATCCCCATACATAAGATATAATAGACATCTGGGAACATGAAAATAGCGGAAAACGCAATTGACGTAATAGTGCGTCAATGGCAGGCAACGGGCCATGTAAAATTCATTCGCGGGCCAAAGCCTTGACTTTGACACATGTGCTGTAGACCCACAGCAGGCTGTGTAAGAGCTGTTTGACCAAAAAGGAGAGTGGTGGTGCTGGGCCAGTTGACCTCCACAGTCACCGGACCTGAACCCAGTCCAGATGGTTTTGGGGCTGGACCACAGAGTGAAGGGGCCAACAAGGTCTAAGCATCATGGGAACTCCTTCAAGACTGTTGAAGACCATTTCAGGTCTAGCCTGGTCGTACCACACCTTAGTACAAATTACATTTGGTACTAAGGTCTGGATTTGCTCCATTGAGTTCCGTTTACAGGTGGGAGGGGGTAACTCCTTTTGCAGATTGAAACAATTGGATCTGAGTTTACCGTGACGTATGTAGAGCGCCCGAGTGAGTTATTAGCATTTAGCCTACCCGTCTCCTTTGCTGCTAACGGAGCCCGTGGGGAGTAGCGCCACAATCTTGACCAGCGATTACATTTGCTAAACATTCCTCTTGCTCCTGCTTCAATTTCTTGATAGAACCAGATCGGATTACTTTACTATCGCATTCTTTGCCAAACTACAACCTGCCCGTTCGGCGCAAACTCTTGACGTCACCGGCACCGATCTACAACATCCGCCTTCCGCGCTCTCTGAGTAGCGGAAGATTGTATTCGCTAACACAGGGACCAGACCCAGACGTTACATGCAGTGAAATGATGATTGAGCAGAGTGTTCGGATGGATAAGGCCAGGGTATTTCAGGTCCTCTTGAAGCTCATCCAGAGAATGCCAAGAGTGAAGCAGTATCAGAGCAAAAAGTGCTACTTTGAAGAACCAGAATATAACACATATTTTCAGTAATTTCATACTTTTTTTTTTCTTTTTCTTTTTTTTTACATAATTTCACATGAGTTCATTCATAGTTTTGAGGCCTTCAGTGTCGATCTACAATTTTCATAATCATTAAAATAAAAAACTCTTTGAATGAGAAGGTGTGTCCAAACTTTTGGTCTGCAATGTACGAGTAGTAGTTCGAGGTTCATTAGGTTTTCTGATAGATTGTACAAGTTTATTTTCATTTTTTTGTCAAGCAATCTTTCTCATTAGGGTCACGTGACATCACTGACTCCCCCACCTCTTGCTCCTCCTTCTCGAACCCTGAAAAAATGGTCAATCAACCTGAGAGATCCAAGATGGCCGTCGCTGTAGTTATGTTCACTTGCAGATGTTCTTTTTTTTTTTTTTTTTAATTAAATATTCAGATGTCAACTTGAGAAATGATTAGTGGTTAGTATTCCTCTCCCACCTCTGTTCATAGAAGCGGATAAAATGATAGATCAGATGGAACAAGACTGCCCCATCTCCCCATAAATATTTAACACTCTTACTCTTAATATTGATATCGCTAAAATGAATTTAAATCTTTTACTCTTCCAAATCCCTCTCTGCATAAATGATGTCTCCGGGTGCACGGGCAGCTGTGTCTTAGATCAGATTCCGTGGGCTTCCTGCTGTGATCAAAGCCTCTCTCCTCTTTTGATTTGGGTGTTTTTGGGTTGGCTCTTCGGAGTGCTTCGATTTTTCAGTTTTTATTCTTCCCCTGCTTCAAAGGCGGTTCAGGTTTTTACATTCAGAAAGACATGCAAGCCGTAAAATCAGGTTTGAGGCAACTTTTCTGTCAAACATTGAGTTCTAGTGAAAGTCCATTAAATACATCGAACTCTTAATATTCTGAAACCGTGGATATTATTTTTGATATATTTTGTACATTTCTCTATCGATCTAACACAGCGGTTCAATTCAGTTTGCTGTTGTGGTTTAGGGCGGTACACAAGTAGTCGTCTCAGGGGACTTCACAGAGTTGTTGATTTAGTCAGCAGCACATCAGAGAAACGGATCAAACTCAAATGTGATAATAACAGACGCATAGGAGCCATTGGTCCGTAGTCAGCAGAATCACCATGGTCCATAAATGTAGGGTAAAAGAGGGCCACAAGAGAACCAGGCTGGTCCAGGATCCAAACATCCTGGACTGTATAACTGTTTTGAGCCATTTTTTAAGTAAGTAATCTTTATTCATATAGCGCCTTTCTCAGACCAGACTCTCAAAGCGGTTTACTTCTGTTATTTTTGGGCATATAGGGTGTTAATTTGATTACATTTATTCTTCTATAGCCCTAAATCAAATTTGTCAACACCGATCAGAGAATCAAAACAGTGGAAAAACAAGAAATGGGAAAGCGCATAGAGCCATTGGTCCAATAGCGGCAGAGACCAATGTTCATAAGTGTTGACAAATGTTGCTGAATGTTGTGCGTCTTGGATCATCACCGCTGTCCTCGTAAAACCTCACAACCTCGCAAAGCTCTAACAGACCCTCCTGCATCAGCAAGAAAAACTCTGAAACCAGATTCAGATCTCTTTTCTTCATCCCCGTGTTATGACCGAGCTGAAAGGCTGAATAACAAAAGACCACCTCACTAGCTTCATTAGCAACATTAGCTACATTAGCAACATTAGCTACATTAGCTACATTAGCAACATTAGCAACACTAGCTGAATTTGTGACGTTCTAAAATAAATGGCTGTCTATACATTTATTTACAAATGTTTATACACAAATAAAGGTACCAAATGTCTATTTTTTGGGCTGAAGCTGGCTGAATGACACTCTGAACGTCTCTTTAGTGCACAGGGAGAAATCATGTAATGTTACAAATGTAGGCAACTGACTAGTTCCTCTGCCCTTGTTTCATGGTTTTGTTTTGTTTTCTGTCCACAAGAAAGAAGCAGAATGTGTTTAAATGTAATATGGAAGTTAAATAAACTTGTGCTGCTGCAGTTGAGCCTGTGTGAAAATCAAAAAAAAAAAAAACTTTCAGTATATGATAGAAAGTGTATTTCCAGTTGCTGTTCCAAAGTTTGAGTGCTAAGGCAAAAACACAGGAGGTTTCTCAAGGCTCCTGGGACCGGTGGTCTGAGCCGTATGTAGACTGGTGCCAGACTGGTCAGACCGGTTCGGGAGCAACGCCAAATAGTCAGTTTTTGGCCATACTCTTTTCTTTATAAGCTTTTGGAAACATACTCCGTGAAGGCTCTGCTCAAACCACAGATTAATATGTGGCTTGTCACTGTTGAGAGGGCGACAAACCTGAATAAATGGCTCTAAAAACAACTGAGTTTGTGAATGACGGGGGGAAACCACTACAGTATGGGTTAGGGTCATAACCTGAAAAGTCCAATATTGAAGGTTGTGTATATTTTTTTAATGTTTCTTTCCTCCTGTTTTCAGAGTGGCGGTGGTGTCCAAGTCTTTTGAAGGCCAGACCGATAAAACAGAAGAGTGGTACGGCACGCAGTACAAACAAGAGGCCATTTCAGACGAGACGATCAAGGTGAGAAAACTATTTTTCTAGAAAAGACACCAGTGGATGTCTGCGATTACGACTGATTTAATCTTGCACCCAGAACTATTTCAATGCGGTAAAGAGATGGATGATTGCATTCTTTCATCTACAAACATAAATTATTGGTGCATTTTATTTTATTTACATTTTATTTACATTTTATTTGTAATAATCAGCCTCTATCCCTGTGTTTTAGAGCTGTAAAAATGTTTTAGAAATGCAAAGATCTCTGTCCAAAAATAATCTTTAAGGAATGGAAGAAATATCTTAATTTGATTGCTTATTTTCAGTTTTAAAGTTGTGTTATTCAGGAGTTTATGAAAAAAAGAAATAGATATCCCATGTTTGTTCATACATTTCACTGTTTTTGGACCCTGGGTGTGTAAATAAAACCCTGTCCGACGGAGCCATGATTTTCTCAAAACAAACCCTTCACAATGACTTTTCCATGTTTTGTGGTTTTACATCTTTAATAAAAGGAAAAAAATGCCCCCTCCCACCCCAGAGTCTAGTTATGAGAGAAGTTTTCAAATATTTCATCCCTGAGCCTCACCCTGAGGTGCTCCTTGAATTCCCCCAAAGTTTAACCAGACACACAGAGTCCAGCATGTTCCACATCCTGGAGACCAGAGCGAGACACGCTCTCTGCATGATGTGGGCACAGGGCAGTGTCCCGTCTGGAAAAGCACAGCTGACCCAGAGCACATGGTACGGTAGGACTCTGTGGGTCGGCCTGGTCCCAGCGCAGCAGCGAGAGTAACCAAAGCATGCAAGAGCAAAGTTCCGCCTTGTTTGCAGTTGTTAGTCCGAGCGCTCTATAGTGCTCTGCTGTCAGGATATGGCAGATTTAGAATAAAGTGCAACAGTTTGAGAGTCTTACCTATGCCCCAGATCTCTGCTCAGGATCTGATGCTTTATGGATCTGAAGCAGGACTTTGTGGTGGTAGCTTTGATTTTACATCAATTTCCCATGTTACATCTGTTTCCATGTTTGCGTTTCAGAAATGGGGCAACGCGGATCTGAACGGGAAGTTTAAGCTACCCATGAAAAACGAGTTCATTCCCACAAACTTTGAGATCTACCCCCTGGAGAAGGACGTGCCCTCGGTCCCCAGTCTGATCAAGGTTTGTTTCCACATCCTGTTTGTTTCAGCACTTTAGGGCACGGTCACATAGGTTTTTACAAACGAACCAGGCCAAGTGGCCCGGATCGTCGCCACAGGGGTGTGAAATCAGCCCGTGGTCACATGAAAGTGTTTTCTGAACCGTGCCAGAGTAGTACAACGCCCGGTCCAGCTGGTGGCGCTAATAACTCCAGTGACTACCACGTTGTCAGAGTTGAGTTTCCGCTTTTTTTCCTGTTTACATTCTGCTACTGCTGCTATCAGGCTCGAGCATGCAATGCTTTGGTTGCATCAGAGCAGTGTGAACAAGTGTGAGATATGTCCTTCCTCAAAATGCAGTGGTGGGACACGTGTGTGTCTGTGTGTGCGGACACGGGAGCGCGCCTTTATAGTAACGAGTGTTAAGCGCTGAGAATGAATGAAAGACAGAAAAGTGGCTACGTGCGTGTGTGTGTTCTGGTGATTAATAAAGACTGATTCTTGAATGTCTGAAGTGTTGTTGCATTAGCACCACACTGAGAGCGAGGGTCAGGACAGAGGAGAGCTGTACCCGTTGGATATACCACAGTCCGGGGCTTCTATGAAAGGTTTAACACAGCGGAGAATACAAAAGTGCAGGAGAGACGTGTGTGAAAATGCGTGTCACAGGAAGACGTAATGTGACGCACAATATCAAGTCCTCCCCGCACCTTACCCCCCACTCCCCACCACCCGCCACACTGACCCCCCCTCATCTGCGCAGGGAAGCAGGCCCTGGCCGCAGTCATTAACCAGGCCAGAGCACGAGTCCAGGCACCGTGCTCTGGCGTGAATGCTGCGGTCAGATGGCACCTAAAGCCCGGATCTAATCGCAAAGCGGGCCCTGGCACACTTTAACCGGGCTTTAGGCACGGTGGCTGAGTGGATAGCACTCTCGCCTCTCAGCGAAGAAGGTCCTGGGTTCGAATCCTGGCCGGACCAGGGCCTTTCTGAGTGGAGTTTGCATGTTCTCCCCGTGCCTGCGTAGGTTTCCTCCGGGTGCTCCGGTTTCCCCTACCACTAAAAATATGTACAATAGTTCTGGCATGCGCTTCCTGTACTGGCGACCCCGCTCCCATCTCTGTGTGGAGTGAGAGGACAAGTGCCCAAAAAATAACAATTGTAAACCGCTTTGAGACTATATATAAATAAAGCTTACTTACTTACTTAGGCTGCGCATGTGACCGCAGCCTTAGTCTCTGCAGTTTTCCTCCGAGTCTCAACACTGTTCCTCTTCAAAACCAGCAAAAGCAGATGTCTTTTACTTCCATCTACACAATAATCACACACGTTTATGTTCAGTCACACTATAGTTTAGATCTCACTAATTAACAGCTAATTATGTTCTTTTGTAATTGGCGTTTGATTGGTATTTTTTAAACACTGGTTATATGTTGATTAACACCATGTAGAATTAGGGCTAAATACTAATTCAATTTCCCATGTGGTTTCTAGGGTTCACTAATTACCAAACAAATGGTTACGGCTAATTAAGTCTTTTCAAACAATCTTCCTCTGTTAAAGCGTTTAAAAGGAACATCAAAGTAAAAGTTTGTCGTTTTCTTGGATGCTTTAGTTTTTGTTTTCAGCCAAAACCCTTTCATTCGGTGAACTACTACTACTACTACTACTATTACTACTACTACATCTACATGACTGCTTCAAACTACAGACCTGGCTGTTTTTTGATTATTTTTTCTAAAGCAAAAGTAATACCTTGTAATTAACACAAATGCTAAAAAGTAACATTTAGCTTTTTAAGTGCTATCAATTTGAATTGTTTAATCGCTGTTAATCACATGAATGTGACCTGCCGGTGTAAGCGTTTCGCCTTCACACGTCCCTCTTCTCATTTAACTTTGCTTTGTTCTCTTTCTTCCAGGACACAGCGATGAGTAAAGTTTGGTTCAAACAGGACGACAAGTTCTTCCTCCCAAAGGCCTGTCTGAACTTCGAGTTCTTCAGGTACGCAGAATTTTTTTTTTTTAATGTAGGGAAACAGTGGCGACCTGTAAAATCCATTCAGGTTCGAGAGAGAATGTGATGCTGTCGGTCCGGGGTCTCCAACCTGTCGCTCCCCAAAAGATTTAGAATTTAACACAAGATCTGCAATTAATGAAATCATTACATACTTTTATTACGACTGTGAAAAGGAGTCTCCCTCAGGCTCTTCTGTCATATAAAAGTATCTCTCAGATTGATAAAGGTTTGAGATTCCTGCTGTAGGTATGTCAGACGACCACTATGTAGACGGAGTCAAACTAGTCCTCAAGGGGGTGGTGTGGCTGCAGGTTTTCATTCCAACCAAGCAGGAGCACACACACACACACACTTCATCATTGGAATTGGTTGGAATGACAACCTGCAGCCATATCGCCCCCTGGAGGACCAGTTTGACGGGGAAGGGCAAATGCAGTAAATATATACAGAATTAATATCTAGTTATAAAAGACTTATAGTAGTTTGTTAGTTCATGGACTAGAAGTTTCTAAATTCAAATGATATTGACTGACATTCATTTTTAATTCTATTGTATGAAGTTTAGTAACCAAAGTTCGATGTTAAGTATGTTCTGATTTCTGATGCATCTGTGTTTTAATTCTGCAGTGTGTGTGCGCGTGTGTGTGTGTGGGTGCGTGCGTGTGTGTGTGTGTGTGTGTGGTTAATCCTCTTCTGGAATGGTCTGTGTGTATTAATGTGTCTGTCTATTACTGTGTGTGTGTGTGTGTCAGTCTTCTGAAATGCCGTGTGTGCTGAACCTCTCTCTGCAGCCCCTTTGCGTACGTGGATCCGTTGCATTGTAACATGGCTTATTTATACCTGGAGCTCCTCAAGGACTCCCTGAACGAGTATGCATATGCAGCCGAGCTAGCCGGCCTCAACTACGACCTGCAAAACACCGTCTATGGGATGTATGTAAGTATCCGGCTCCTCTGTCCTCACCTCAGGCAAAACACTAAAGATAAGACTAATAAGTGCTTGAACCAAAATGTCTAGTGTCACTGAAGCAACAGCCACGTTGGTCTAATTCAGAGGGGTCAAACTGGGTCCAGGTTTTAGTTCCAACCAAGCAGGAGCACCTTAAACTCCGCCCATTTCCTCATGTATGTGTTTGTCCTCATGGTCTCTGTGGCTTCTGTGGTCACACTTTCATGAAGCAGAAGAAATGTCCAGAGTCTCTGTCAAACCTCTCGCCCGATCCTTGTAGTTTTCTGAGCTTCGCACACAAGATTTCTCAATGATGATTTGCAATTGGATAAACCACATGTCAATGATCTATTATCGAAGCACACGACTCCTCGCTGTTGTTTGGATCAGTCGCTTAAAACATCTATGAAATCCCGGCGATCCTGATTGGGTCATTATTTGTTGCTATCTTGAATGAGTTTGCATTGCCCTCAATCCCTGATCCTTGTTTGGAGCTCAGCCAAACGCCTCTGGTGGCGCATGACGGAACTACAAGTGTTTACGGGCTGTTAGGACACAACAGAACAGGCTGTAATGGCAGCTGTGATTTCAGTAAAAATGTAGTCATTGAAAGACTTTGAGGCGGCCCACTTGCAGCGCTGCAGTGAGATCACAAGCTACCATTGCATTGTGGGTAATGTAGTTTCAGCCACAGCCACGAAAAAGCATCTCTTGCAGCACGCGCAAAAGCGTTTTTTCACCATTTTCCCACGGGAGGGGCTAGTCTCTGTCATTCTGAAATAGCATCACAATGTTGATCACACAAAAAATGTCAACGGAGGAAATGGGCGTCACTACTTTTGTAATATTTACAGTCTATGGTCTTAACCTGAAGACTTTAGGAAATGGGCGGAGTCTGGTGGGCTCCTGCTTGGTTGAATATAAAACCTGCAACCACAATTTCTGTTGACTAGTTTGTCCCCCTGGTCTAATTGTTTTTGTTTCCATTCAAACTGAGAAATGAGTCTTCTCTCCATTTTTTTTTGAGTAAAACCTTAGATCTTGTACATGTTTCATCAACGAATCTTATTTTAATGCAGTCAAAAAATGGTGAGATGAGGAAAACCAGTTGATTCAAGCACTTACGACTTATTTCTAGTGTTGTGTCCCATAGGAAGTGTGATTGACGATTCTGTGACGTCTTCTTTGACGGCTGCAGTGACTCCAAGCTGTACAAAAACATGACTCGATCACATTCAAAGTCCCTTAATTCTTTTCCTTCATTGGCTCTGTGTTGTATTTCTCATTTCCCATTCGTCCCTCTTATCCACCTCCTTTCCCTAAACATTCTCAATGAAATGTTATTAGTTATTTTTACATTTCTCCTTTTTAATTTGGCTCCAGCCCAAAAGCACAGTCTGTAGCAGAGATGGCGTCCGTCCCGCTGGTGCTGCATATACATACTCTTTTAAAGCGTTCCGGTGTTGACCCGATCCCGGACTTTTTTTTTGGCTTTGATTTCACCCATGTCACTTCACTGTCTCCGTTGTTTTTGTGTTGTTTTCCATCAGTCGCTACCTTTACGCAGACCCCCTCCACTGCAACATGACCTACTTGTTGCTCAGATTACTCAAGGACGATTTAAATGAGTATGCTTATGCAGCGCGGCTGGCAGGGCTTCACTATGGAGTAGCCTCAGGGATGAATGCCATTCTCGTAAGTAACATCAAAGGGGGAGATGAGTGGACTGATGTGGGCTGATGTAGGCCAGCTCCTAACATTCTAACTTACTGCTGAGTGCCGTGGTGTGTCCTTAATATATGAATTATAATTGCATTCTTTGTGATCATAGAAAGAGATATTGTCTCTTTAATTGGTACTATCTCAGTAACTGTATTTGGGCAGAATGTGAATCATACGAGAAAGTTGTAACGCATGTTTTTGTGTGTTAATAATATGCATTGGTTTCATATAGAGCTTTACTCAGTCATTATTAATTCACTTCTACACTGTGGTGATAGCTACTGTAGCCACAGCTGCCCTGGGGGATATTGACAAGCGAGGCAACTAGTACGCCTTCTAATGTGGGTGAAGTGTCTTGCCTAAGGACACAGCGAAGGTTTAGCAAATTTACATCTGCCCCACTTTGATAATTGGATGAGGGAGCGGGAGGCTGGAGCAGGGGAGAGGGAGACCACTGTGGCACCTGGTGTTCCCAGAGGTCTCCCATCACAGTACTAACCAGGCCCTACCCTGCTTAGCTATAGAGGCTGGACAGTATCTGCTTACTAGTTGCAGCTTGTGCCACCAACAGGTGAAACACAGAGGCAAATATTATCATTATTATTTTGTTTTTTCTTGAATTGGGGAAAAATCATCTTGTTGGGAGTTGTTTTAGGACGCTGTGAAATATTTGAGGCGTTCCCAAGCCAGCGTAAAAATGTGTTTTGAATGAATGACTAAACTATATATGGGGTCGAAACCACATTAGTCCCAAGGCCTTTCTGAGTTTGCATGTTCTCCCCGTGCCCTATTAGTGTCACACTTCTAGACCCCTTCATGAGAAATGTATTAAACCTCGGTTAATGTTGAAGTTGGAAATGGAGCTTTGACTTCAGAGGTAATTTCTCTAGTTTTTTTGGATTGTTCCAGGAATATAAAGACTAAAACACAGACTTTTGACGCTTACTGAAATTTCTCCACTGTGAGACTAATAAAGGTTTATCTTATCTCTTACCATAGCTACCAGGAAGTCTCTTTTCTGCTTCCCTTTACCCCTATGTGAAAGTATAGGCTCTTAGGAATGCTGTGATGTCACATGAACCCAACCTATTCTTTCCCATGTAAAGTAGTGCACTAATAAACTTCATATGACAGATTACAGTGAATCCCATTGCTACAGCAGTGCAGCTCAATATCAAAAACCTTTTTAAATAGTTCCATTGTTGCCTCCCAAATTACAGTAGGCTAGTTCTAATGCCTCTGTAATGTGCTTGTATTGAGCAAAGCAGGTGAAAAATGAGCTCCTTCTTTAGTAGATTTAGTAAACTTCTTCGGTGTCTGCGTTTGGTTTTCCTCTCTGTCGCTAAGTCCTGAAACCCTCTTAAATCCAAGTCTCTGCATCGATTCTCCTCTCGTGGCTGCGTACAGAAGCCGTAACGATTTAGTTGAATATAGATTACGGCCTGAGCTTCTGAGACTGCGGCTACCTCAAGGTTAATGATGTCTTTGGGAATTCTCCTGTTCATGGGAGGACAGGAAAAGGCTCTGCACCAGGCGGGTCTCTGAAGAAGAGGCTCAAGCTGGGATGACTCTGCAAAGTTTTACTAGTTGTAAGTTTTAATGATTAAGGTCACAGCTGGAGAGGGTTTGATTCGAGGAGCTGACGGATGCAATATGCAAACGTTTGTATGGTGCTTGACTAGAAGTACTCATGGTTCATAGGAACTAGTAAGTAGAGAGAGGAAGGAGGGAGAGGCTGAAGAGGGAGAGAGGCTGAAGAGGGAGGGAGAGAGGCCAGAGAGGGGGAGAGGGAGGCTTCGCCCAATAAAGAGCTCTCTGAAGACCTGGGTTCAAGAATTTAACAAAAGCGGAGACCTGTTTTTTTTTTTTCATCTTAATTTTTTTTTGAGAAAGTTCAGATCAAATTTGACGGTGCTTTTATGCAGAAATGTGGGAAATTGCAAATCAGTCCACTGTTAGACTGTTGCTTAAACCACAACAGGTTATTTCGGTTGGATTGACAGTTTTCTGAATATTATTATTGGATCTCAAATCTGTGGAGCTGTGCATTGATTCTGTCTCACCACAGTCGGAGCAAATTCACATGAAAAGTTTGAGAACGGTTGATCCAAACGGAACAAGTCCATCGCTCATGTGTCTGTTGGCGTCGGTAAAGTCTGCTCTCTGTCTGCAGCTGTCAGTGAAAGGTTACAATGACAAACAGCACATCCTCCTCAAGAAAATCATCGAGAAAATGGCCACGTTCGAGATCGACGAGAGGCGCTTCGACATCATCAAGGAGGCGGTGAGCTCTCGTCCCACTCACATATGTTCAAAACACTGTCATCAGATAAATATATGTATAAATATTAGGGCTGTCAGAATTATCGCGTTAACTCACGTTAATTACATTTTTCATTAACGCGTTAAAAATAAAGTTATCGCATTAATGCATGTCTGAATGACCCGCCCATTTATCCATAATATCACTCAGAAGGCTGCGTGTGAGATGCATCGGCGCAGGTAGGCCTTCTGGGAACTCATGTTTTAAAAGATTACACGCGTCACCGCTGGGCTGTTGTTTGCTGTGAACTGAAGTCCGCCTCCTCCACGGCCGCTCTGGCTGTGAGCCGCTCACAACAACACGGCTGTGAGCCGCTCACAACAACACGGCTGTGTAACATGGTCATATAAGACCAAACACGCCACAGAACTATTCTCCTCATGTTTTGTTTGTGTCTTTGCAACCTGTACGTAACCTGTGCACGCCAATACACCGCTAAAGCGTCCGTGTCTCCTGCTGAAACGAAACTAAACTGAATTAAAGCTGGGGTACGTACATTTCCCCCTTTCATTAACAGCTCATGTTGGTTTTGCCCAAAAGCAAAGGGTTGTGAGCAAATCTAACAGATTTAAGTAAATTTGGTCTGAATGACAATGTCATTATATTTGATAATCTCATTTAACTTCAATTGGAGTGGATTGTAAATAGAATGTTTAAAATGCGATTAATCGTGAGTTAACTCATCATTACTGTGCGATTAATCAACAACAAAATGTTAATCGTTTGACAGCCCTAATAAATATATATGTATACTGGCTTTAAATGAGCGGTACAATTGCAAAGACTGTGAGGATGAGAGAGAGGGGGACAGTCCTGAGAGAGCGGGTGTAGAGAGGGCGTAGAGAGAGAGAGGGCGTGTAGAGAGAGGGCGTAGAGAGAGAGAGGGCGTAGAGAGAGAGGGCGTAGAGAGAGAGGGCGTAGAGAGAGAGGGCGTGGAGAGAGAGAGGGCGTAGAGAGAGAGAGGGCGTAGAGAGAGAGAGGGCGTAGAGAGAGAGAGGGTGTAGAGAGAGAGAGGGCGTAGAGAGAGAGAGGGCGTAGAGAGAGAGAGGGCGTAGAGAGAGAGAGGGCGTAGAGAGAGAGAGAGGGCGTAGAGAGAGAGAGGGCGTAGAGAGAGAGGGCGTAGAGAGAGAGAGGGCGTAGAGAGAGAGAGGGCGTAGAGAGAGAGAGGGCGTAGAGAGAGAGAGGGCGTAGAGAGAGAGAGGGCGTAGAGAGAGAGAGGGCGTAGAGAGAGAGAGGGCGTAGAGAGAGAGAGGGCGTAGAGAGAGAGAGGGCGTAGAGAGAGAGAGGGCGTAGAGAGAGAGAGGGCGTAGAGAGAGAGAGGGCGTAGAGAGAGAGAGGGCGTAGAGAGAGAGAGGGCGTAGAGAGAGAGAGGGCGTAGAGAGAGAGAGGGCGTAGAGAGAGAGAGGGCGTAGAGAGAGAGAGGGCGTAGAGAGAGAGGGCGTAGAGAGAGAGAGGGCGTAGAGAGAGAGAGGGCGTAGAGAGAGAGAGGGCGTAGAGAGAGAGAGGGCGTAGAGAGAGAGAGGGCGTAGAGAGAGAGAGGGCGTAGAGAGAGAGAGGGCGTAGAGAGAGAGAGGGCGTAGAGAGAGAGGGCGTAGAGAGAGAGGGCGTAGAGAGAGAGAGGGCGTAGAGAGAGAGAGGGCGTAGAGAGAGAGAGGGCGTAGAGAGAGAGAGGGCGTAGAGAGAGAGAGGGCGTAGAGAGAGAGAGGGCGTAGAGAGAGAGAGGGGTAGAGAGAGAGAGGGCGTAGAGAGAGAGAGGGCGTAGAGAGAGAGAGGGCGTAGAGAGAGAGAGGGCGTAGAGAGAGAGAGGGCGTAGAGAGAGAGAGGGCGTAGAGAGAGAGAGGGCGTAGAGAGAGAGAGGGCGTAGAGAGAGAGAGGGCGTAGAGAGAGAGAGGGTAGAGGAGGGCGTAGAGAGAGAGGCGTGAGAGAGGGCGTAGAGAGAGAGAGAGGGCGTAGAGAGAGAGAGAGGGCGTAGAGAGAGAGAGAGGGCGTAGAGAGAGAGAGAGGGCGTAGAGAGAGAGAGAGGGCGTAGAGAGAGAGAGAGGGCGTAGAGAGAGAGAGAGGCGTAGAGAGAGAGAGAGGGCGTAGAGAGAGAGAGAGGGCGTAGAGAGAGAGAGAGGGCGTAGAGAGAGAGAGAGGGCGTAGAGAGAGAGAGAGGGCGTAGAGAGAGAGAGAGGGCGTAGAGAGAGAGAGAGGGCGTAGAGAGAGAGGGCGTAGAGAGAGGAGAGAGGGCGTAGAGAGAGAGAGGGGGCGCAGAGAGAGAGGGGGCGCAGAGAGGGAGAGGGCGTAGAATTCTTGCAATGCCACAGTTAAATGTGTTTTATTAAAATGTTCCTGGTCTTCTGTCCTGCAGTACATGAGGTCCTTGAATAACTTCCGGGCGGAGCAGCCGCATCAACACGCCATGTACTACCTCCGGCTGCTCATGACCGAAGTGGCCTGGACCAAAGACGAGCTCCGAGACGCGCTGGACGGTCTGTCAATTATTTTATTATTCATTAAGAACATTTGACATGAACTCAAAAAAACACATGATAAAAACAAATTAAGTTCATGGACCATCCTTCGCCGGAAAAATAAACGACCGGAAATGGGTGAGAAACCTCGGAGGCTTACGGTGAGAGGGATCTGCTCCCACGGACAGGCTATAGATTCAGGCTGTAGAACGAGGACTGAGACTAGTATGTCATCGCACAACTATGACATCACACTTGGAGGCAATACTTTTGTTTTTAACTCATTTACTGCCAGTGGTTTTTGATGATTTTGTTGACTTTCAAGATCCACAGAATATTATGTGCTATGACTATATGAAATGTAAAAGCAGATTCTGAGAGACTGAACTGTCTACTTTTATCAGCAAAAATAAGTTAGTTTCTAGCTAGTTTTGTTCTCCTGTAATCCCCAGTCGAATGCGGGGAAGTTTGACAGAAATCACCAAGACAAACACGTCAATGGCAGCCAATGAGTTAAACTGCTAGCATGTACAGACGCTAACATAAAACTACATATTGCTTGCACACGGTACGGTTTTGTGATCTCTTCTCCGTTTCTTTTGCAGACGTGACTCTCGCTCGACTCAAGGCTTTTATTCCTCAGCTGTTGTCACGGTTACACATAGAAGCCCTCATCCACGGAAACATACTGAAGGAGGTCAGCTGACACTTTTATCCTTTACACAGACTGTGTTTGAGGAGTGGACTGACAGAGTGTGACGTCACCTCAGTGCCTTAACGCAGAAGAAGCAGATGTCAGCATGAAGATAGCTGGAGCCAATTTCCTTTTTATTTGGGTTTTTAAAAAGTGTTAGCACCATAGCAGATTTAGACATGTTGCTAAGATAGTTGCTGAGGCAAGTTGGAGTTTTCCCCCCGTACGTGAAGGCCTCTTATTGTCAATGCCAGAATAATATAAAAACCCTTGGAGAAGAGGGCACGAAACCACGGATTATTCAAGCAAAAGTTGAGGCAAAACTTTAGCAAAACACGTCACTGAGCTAGCGTGTTAGCATTATCATCTGTATACAGTCTATGATCCTTCGCTGTTAGTATGACTGTTGTGTCCCTGTGTAAGAAACAAAATGATTAATATTATAATTATGCTAACAGGTAGATGATTCTTGGGTGTGCAGGGATGTAAAGATATATAATAGTATGCCCCCCGCCGGGTTAGAGTACAAAGCTGTTGATTCGCCAACAACAAAGATTGTAGACCCAGGACTGAGGCTGCAGACCCAGGACTGAGGCTGCAGACCCAGGACTGAGGCTGCAGACCCAGGACTGAGGCTGCAGACCCAGGACTGAGGCTGCAGACCCAGGACTGAGGCTGCAGACCCAGGACTGAGGCTGCAGACCCAGGACTGAGGCTGCAGACCCAGGACTGAGGCTGCAGACCCAGGACTGAGGCTGCAGACCCAGGACTGAGGCTGCAGACCCAGGACTGAGGCTGCAGACCCAGGACTGAGGCTGCAGACCCAGGACTGAGGCTGCAGACCCAGGACTGAGGCTGCAGACCCAGGACTGAGGCTGCAGACCCAGGACTGAGGCTGCAGACCCAGGACTGAGGCTGTAGATCCAGGACTGGGCCAGTAGCTGCTCTCCTGTCCCTCTGTAACTGGTCTGGTCTGATCTGGTCTGGTTTGGTTTCAGTCTGCTTTGGAGATGATGCAGATGGTGGAGGACAAACTGATCGAACACGCTCACACCAAACCTCTGCTCCCGAGTCAACTCATCCGCTACAGAGAGGTGCAGGTGCCAGACGGTAAGACACATACGCACATATGTTTACACACACATGTTTACACACACATGTTTACACACACACACACACATACACACATACATTAAATAATTTTGCAATATTTGGGGCCACAATTCACTATCATTGCAATTCTTACATAGCGTGATTCAGCGAGTGTTGTGGATTGATTCTGTGATATATTTTCAGATGCATGTCCTTCATAAAATTCAAAAGCATTACAGAAATTGAGGACATACAAAAATATACAAACTGCTCAACATTTTTATCATTTTTGGTTTTATCATTTATTATGGTATTTTCTGAATCGGCGACCTCGCACAAGAAGTGGTGAGCTCCCGGCAAATCACTTCAATAATTCAAATATAATAGACTAGAGTCACAAAGACATCATCGAGAAACATAAACCTCAGACGTAAATTATCAGAGTAAACAAAAACGTGTGTGTGTTTGTGTGTGTGTGTGTGTGTAGGCGGCTGGTACGTGTATCAGCAGAGGAACGAGGTCCATAATAACTGTGGGATCGAGATCTACTATCAGACCGACATGCAGAGCACCCACGACAACATGCTGCTGGAGCTGTTCTGTCAGATCATCTCTGAGCCCTGCTTCAACACGCTGAGGACCAAAGAGCAGCTCGGTAACACACTTTTACACACTCTCCTTCAGAATCCACACACTGCTGTCAGATGTCTGCAACTCCACTTGTAGTTTTTGAGAAGTATCATCTATAGTAAGTAGATAAATATGTTTAAAATGGTCTCTCCACTTGAAATAATCCTCACCTGTAAGATTTCCTGAAGGAGAATAGTTGGACCAGTGATGAGAGGCCACAGCTAAGATTTAGATTAATTTCGACCCAATCAGAAATCTGGGGCGGGGCCTACATCAATCTTTACAATTTGAATAGTAACTGACCTTCACTTTTACAGCTGAAAATTAAACTTATTTTTTATGTCCAATTTGCAGTGAGTTTTGGTTAAGGATTCTTGTATACAAAACATTGTTGTAGAATCGATTCATTTTGACCTTTTGTTGACTTGGAGCTTAAACCTTTAACCCTTTAAGCGCCAAAGTCGCAATATTGCGACAAGCAACATTGCTCACTTAAACAGGCTGTATGTAAAAATGTGGTGCAGAATCTTGTTAATACTTGTCACCAGGGGTTAGTGGACATGTGTGCCTGTAATATGAGCAGCGTTTGTGGGTGTGGTTATATTGAAAGTTTTAGAGTAAATTAAGTGCGGCGCGGAGGTGAAGCAGCAGCGGTAGAGCTGAGAGGAGCGAGAGCAGAGCAGAGGGAGAGAGTGTTTTTTATTTTACTGACGAGGTCTTCAGTACCAGAGAAGTACTTGGTCTGGTACTGGCTCACTCAGATTCAGAGGAGGAAGACACGCAGGTGTCCAGTGAAGCAGACACGGACATTATTGGTGACGGGGAGACCGCGCCGTAGTCCACAATCAGCCCCTGTGCAGCGGCTGCTTGTCCTCCGTGTGGCCGCGGTAGAAGCATTCTGTGAACGCCAAGCAGGGTCCGTGGTGGAGGGGACAGGGGCATCATAACACCAGGCATGTGGGAGAAAGTAGCGGGGGTAAACATCCACGGGGAACACGGGAGACGCTGGAGAAGTCTCAGGAGAGCCACGGGAAAAAAACACATCGCTAATCACGTTCACTGCCTTTACCAACAGTGATGATGAGGATGAAGGCAGTTCTTGAGAGAAAATAATCCACAAAAGTGGATCAGAAGTGTTGAAGAGCCTGTTGTTTCTTGTTTAGACGATCTGACATGTTCTGTAGCCCATTCATTTCATCTCTCTGTTTCTAAACAATACAATACAATACACAATTTATTCTTGTATAGCCCTAGGTCACAACAGAAGT